CAATAGCTAAATTACACAAGTAGCCCAAGTGTCCGCTAATGAATGGATAAAGATGTGGGGTGTGTGTGTATAATAGAATATTAATCAGCCATAAAAAAGAATGAAATCTTGCCATTTGCAACAACATGGATGGACCTCAAAAGTATAATGTTAAGCAAAGTAAGTCTGAAAAAGACAAATACCATGATTTCACTCCTACGTGGAATTTAAGAAACAAACGAGCAAAGGGGGGAAAAAAGAGCAAGAGAGAGACAAAGCAGAAAACAGACTCTTTAACTATAGAGAACAGATGGTCACCAGAGGGGAAGTGGGTGGGAGGATGGGTGAGATAGATGATGGGGATTAAGGAAGGCACTTGTGATGAGCACCAGGAGGTATATGTACGTGTTCAATTACTATATTGCACACCTGAAACTAATATTACTGTGTATGTTAATAACTGGAATTTAAATTAAAATTTTTAAAAATTCAGATTCTAGGGCCCCACTCCATACCTATTAGATCAGAATCAAAGGATCAGGCATTTTAAAACAAAACAGCATTCTTGGATTCTTGGAGCAGCTGGGTGGTTCAGTCAGTTAAGCATCTGCCTTTGGCTCAGGTCATGATCCTGGGGTCCTGGGATGGAGCCCCACACTGGACAACTCCCTGCTCAACAGGAACCCTGCTTCTCCATCTCCCTCTGCCTGCCACTCCCCCTTGCTTGTGCTCTGTGTCAAATAAATAAATAAAATCTTTAAACAAACAAACACCAGCATTCTTATAAGCTTCCCCACAAATTCAGGGCAGCCCAGCATAGACCTGCACCCAGCAGTTGACATCAGGTCTTAACATTCTCACCCTAAGATCCCACAGCTCCTAGTGGGCCCTAGACGGAGGCTACACTACCCAGAATGCAGGGAGAACAGCCTCAGCACAGTGCTGGAGATGGGAGTCCACTCAAGTTTTGAGGGGCCAGTGCACACTAAGGAAGAGCATACAAGGAAAGGGAAAAAAGTTATGCCTAGAGGTTATATAGGGTGAGGGAAAGGGGGACCGGTGCCAAATAGACCTTTCCAGATTTAGAGACCAAGGCATATTTTTAGGCTGAGAGCAGAAACTGTTGGAGAGATAGGAAGATAGGCTAAGGTTGCACGAGTCGAAAAATGACACTAGAACTGCGCTGTCCAGTGCGGTAGTCACCAGCCACATGGAGCTACTAAGCATGTGTGTGGCTAGTGTGACCTGAAATCTGCTAGAAAACTTAAGGTGCCCTGAATTTTAAAGATTAAGTAAAAAGAATGGGACGCCTGGGTGGCTCAGTTGTTGAGCGTCTGCCTTCGGCTCAGGGTGTGATCCCAGGATTGAGTCCCACATCAGGCTTCCTGCATGGAGTCTGCTTCTCTGCCTCTCTCTCTCTTTCTGTGTGTCTCCCATGAATAAATAAATAAATCTTTTTTAAAAATGTAAAAATAGGGCAGCCTGGGGGGCTCAGCGGTTTAGCACCGTCTTTAGCCCAGGTCATGATCCTGGAGACCGGGGATCAAGTCCCACGTCAGGCTCCCTGCATGGTACCTGCTTCTCCCTCTGCCTGTGTCTCTGCCTCTCTCTCTCTCTCTCTGTGTGTGTGTCTCTCATGAATGAATAAATAAAATCTTTTAAAAAAATAAAAATAAAGATTTAGTAAAAAGAAAACTAGTGTCTACTATCTCAGTCATTTTTGTACTGATTACAGGTCAAACATATATTATGGATATGTTAAATAAAGTATTCAAACTGATTTCACCTGACTTTATATTTTTTAATGTGACTCCTAGGAAATTTAAAATTATTTATGAGGCTCCTTGAGGCTGGCATATTTCTACTGAACAGTGCCAATCCAAAGGGTATAGAAGCCAGGACAAAAAAGAACACCCACCAAAAAAGAAAAGAAAAAATCTCTTTCTACAATCCCAATCTGCCTCACTCAGGGCTGGCCAAACTGATGAAACAGCTTGACAACTAATGGTCAATAGAAATGAAAGTATAATGGAAAAGATACAAAACCTAATTTGTTCTCAGACACCATTTACATTCAGCAATTAATTCAGAGATGACCAGTACTTCTCATCCATTCTTAAGGCCCCACAGTGGGAAGGAAATCACCAACCAGCAAGCCATCCAGAGGAAGCCTGTGCACCAAGCACCCGCTAAGTTCTGAGAAAGACACAGGACAGGGAGGTGCCAAACCAGCCTTGGTATTTTCCATACTTGGAAGGAATAAGGAGGAACAGGAGCCTGGGGAAAGTCAGTTCTTTGCCCGAGTCACACCATCTTCCCCCAAGCTGCTCTGGATTCTGATGTGCACACGTTTCCCACACCACACCTGCCCCTGCTCCCACAACTGTGAGTGGGCAGTGAGGAAAGTTCTGGGTGCCACCTGGCTCCTTCCTCAACGATTCTGGCATCCATCAGATGTTCCTTCCTCCCGCAACCAGCCTCGACTCAGTGGTATGCGGTTAGGGTCCTTTCCAACACCCAGGCCGCTTCTCTGTTCCCCAAAGATAACAGAGCGAGCAGGGGTGTTTGCTGGCCAGTGGCCTTATCTAAGATCAACATGGCAGCTCCTGCATTCAGGGTCGGGATCAAGTGAAGGCTTGAAGCCTCAGCAGGTGCCTGGTCACCATAGTTGGGTTTGGGGGGTGGGGGTTGTTTTATTGTGCTTTGGGAGGAAGGGCTCTGAAAAAGCTGCAAGCTTCTCTGAGAACTCCCTATTTCTCCACACCCTCAAGCTAAGAGGTCTAAGCTGAGGTGGCCAAGAAGGGTAAAGACCTCCGGTGACACACATGCATTCTGCTGGGGCTAAGGGAGGCGAGATGCTTTCCATCAGAGGGTACTTAATCCCCCACCTTCCACCTTCTCGACAAGGGCCCAGTGCCCAACCCGGGGGGCCGGTCATTTGACAGTCAGCTGTCTAGTGCTCGATATCCTAACTGGCTCCCCAGCCCAATCGCACCCCACTCAGTGCAGATGGACTTTCTTGGAATAGCACGTTTGCTGTGCGGTCAGGACGGTCTAAGGGGAAAGTACCGCACCCTAGCAGCCAGGGACTGGGAAGCTGGCACCCCGAAGCTGGCACCGCCACTGAAGGCTCTGTGGCTTTGAGGAAAGTGGGGCCTTTCTCGCTTTCAGGGTTCCTTCCAGTGAAATCAAGGTTCAGCCTCCCACCTCTTCAACGTCTTACCGACTCTTGTAATCTACAGTTGTGTCACTCCTCTGTTTGAGAACCTTCAGGGTCCTCCCTCCTGCAGATAAAGCCCAAACTCCTTGGGCTAGCAGCCTTCAAGGCTGGGCATAACCTGACCCTGATCTGCCTTCTAGGCCTTTCCTAATAACCTCCTCCACTGACACCCTCATCCAAGGCAGCCAGCTTTCTTGTCATTGCCCCAAATGTTCTACACCCACGCCTTCTGTTCACCTTCGCTCACGCCATTCTGCTTTCAGGGGTGTCCTCCTTCCATTTCCATCATCTGCCTCTTTCATGGAGCTCCTCCTAACCTCCCAAGTTCCCAGCCCCAGCTTCAAGGGAGTTGCTCCTTAGAAATGCTAGAATCTCTGGATGTAGACAGTTCACTTAGCCCTTAGGAGTCACTGCCTGGGCATCCAATTAGATGAAGCTCTCCAGGCAGGTAAGGAATCCCCCATGATGTTAGTTAACTCTCCATCTGAGAACACATGACCTTGGCACACGCCTGCAAGCCCTGTAGGCCCAGAACACAAGGGGCGTGTGCATGACATGACACCTCAGGGGTTATAAAAGGTTTTCACACCCATCGCCTCAGGTCATCCTCAAAGCCACTCAAGAGTGGCCCTGGCACAAGGAGGATTACTGGTGGTCTGTCTGGGGCCCATCAACTGAGGAGCAGTCACCTGCACCAGGACTGAGCCGTAGCTCCTCTGCCGCCAGGGCCAGTCTCTTCCCTCCTGGAACCTGGCCACAGGGAAGAGAGGCAAGCCAACTCATCACGCACCACCTGGAAGAAATGACAGGCAAAGCCACCGTCAGAGCCGGTGCTGCCACTCCTCCCAGCATACTCCTCTTCTGTATCACAGGCTTGCCCTGGTCGTGGAAGCATGGGAACAGAAGCCAGGCCCCCCATGAGCTCCAGAGGTTTGTGGGAGCCAGAGCAACATCAGTCACAGAGAACAGCAAGCTCGAAAAGCTCTGAAAAATCTAGTGACCATCATCTCATTCTGTCCTAGAAGGAAGGGAATTTCAGGAGGGGGTGGTAAGCAGAGCAGCAGAGAGTAGCGCAGCTGGCCTAGGCCCCGAGGCACTCCCCTCACCCCACCTGAATCAGGGGTGAGCCCACTTGGGGACAGCTGCAGTGGGTGCACAGCCGAGCCAACCCAGCAATGTCTCAAGGTTTCTGACCTCTGTTGTTGACTTCCACCCAGAGCACATACCCATTTTTAGTGCACAAGGAATGTAAAGCAGGCACGAGGAGTTAGGACGGAGCTGCTAGTGTAAAACAAACACAGGGCTTCCTACATAAAGACCAGACAGCCACTGGGCGCCACCTCCACCAGGAATCCCAGGTAGGTGTGCTCTCTCTACTCTCCATATGTGGGTTCATGGGTTTAGCTTCCTCTGACTGCTGGCCATCCACAGGCCCATCTGAACAAAGGGGTGGCTGCACAACATGGGGCAGCCTGGCTGCTCAGACACAGCTGGAGCACCCCCACAACCCCATAAACCCTGAGGGCCCTGCTCCTTCAGCATCATGATCCTTCCTTAAGAAATGGCACAAGCTCCTTGGGGCCTGGGACAAATATGGGGAGTCCCACTGCCAAACAGCCTGGGCAGAGGGGGCGGTGGGCAGAGGGAGCCCCTCCAGCAGGGGTGGGAAGAGCTCTTCTATTCAACAGTGACATCCCAGGTCCAAGTCCCCTCACCCTGTGTGCTGGGCTCATACCTGAGAGGGGTCTGGGGCACAGGAAGGGGAGGGCACACTGCCTGCAGACCCTCTTCTCCTCCAGGCGCATCTGACACCATGCCCTCCCTGGGGACCATGTGCAGCCTGCTGCTCTTCAGTGTGCTCTGGGTGGACCTGGCCATAGCGGGCTCCAGCTTCCTAAGTCCCGAACACCAGAAAGTACAGGTAAACCATCTCACCACAAAGCCCCACATTCGGATTAGGGTATCTGGCTCCAGCCTTGCCATGGGGCAGCCAGCTGTGTGACCTTGGCTCAAATTCTCTGGGCTTTCTCCAAGAGCACTAAGGACGACTCTGGGTCTGACTGTAGGCTCCACACCTCCCTCTGCTTCTGGAAGTATAAGGGGGCTTAGGGCCCTAAGATAGTACCTCTTTCCAGCAGAGAAAGGAGTCCAAGAAGCCGCCGGCCAAACTGCAGCCCCGAGCCCTAGAAGGCTCCCTTGGCCCAGAAGACACCAGTCAAGTGGAAGAGGCAGAGGATGAGCTGGAAATCCGGGTTGGTTCCAGATTTATGCTTTTGTGGCAGTGGAGGGTATGAGGGTGGAGGAGGGCAGGCTGTGAACAGTGATCCACTGACGAAAGAAATGTAAAATAGTACGCAAAAAGGTTGACTCCGAACTGGACTCCACCAGGTCTTTTCCCATCAAGAGGCAAATGTCTAAGATAAGTCATTTTGCTACAACAGAACGGGACAGGACAAGGAGCCATGAGCAGGGAACAGGAGGGGTGCAGGTCCACACCAGAGGATTTCAAAAGAGGGCCAGCAAACATGGTGCCAAGAGACACACACCCAGGAAGAATCAGCTGGTCACAGCCTGAAGAGGTTTCCCCACAGCAAAGTGTCTGCTTGGCCCAGGGGCCTGTCCGACCCTGCCCGGGGCTGGAGTGCACACGCACGGCCCCACGCAGGCCAGCTACTGCTAGCCCGCCGCCAGCGGCCATGCACCATGCCCCATCCGGAGATGAGACAGGACCAATCGGGCTGTCTCGGCTCCAGCAAATCTTGCACGGGCCACGGAGAAAGTCTGAAAATAGAGGGGGAGATTAGGACAGAGAAGGAGTAAAGGGATTATATAGGGGTTATCCCTGCAATCTTCCCAGGAAGCCAGCTGTGGTTCAGGGAATGGCCCTTACAAGCACTCAGGTGGCGACAGCTGCCTCCCTGCAATGACACCAGAATTCCCCACCCCGGGGCAGTACTGAACCGTGGCGATCTTGGTGCTGCTCCTGCCTACTGATGGAGATTTCATTTACAAACTGTCTTACCCTCATTATATGCCGTTCAATCTCCACGACCACCTGTGAGGTAAGGTCAGATACTACTGCCCTCGTTTCATAGGCAAGGGACAGAAGTTCAGACAGATGAACTCGTGTTCCTGAGGTGCCACAGCCTGCGCGCGGCAGGGGTGGGAGCAGAGGGCAGGGCCACCTCCAGCTCCTAGCCCCCTTCCCCTCACCAGCCTGGCAAACAGCGTGCATTGTGGCCTGGGGCACCCCTCCCTCCCTAGTCACCCCTGGCCTGAGAAGCTGCAGTGCGGCCTGCCTCGGCCTCCCTCGCTCCCTCCCTCCCCACCAGCTTCTTCCATCAGGATGAACTCCCTACCCACGCTCCCTCTGACCCTTCCTGGAATCTAGGGGTGTTCTCAGGTGCTTCCTCCATGCCACATGTGAGATCTCCAACCCACTACATTCCCACTGACTCCTGCAAATCCTCAAACTAAAACTGGGGAATTTCCTGGTGAGACCCAGGCGGCTGGCCGGCACTCCCACTCACCCAGGCCTGGCTGGCTCTCCCCCACACCCAGACAGGGAAGGGGTCTCAGCGGCTTGAGGACTCAAGGCAGGGCTGGGACAACCAGAAGCTTCCAGTCCCCATGAAGGCTGGCCTTAGAAGTTAGCCCGCACCCCAACTAGAACCCGAAGTCTGAAATGTCTGGGAGGCACCAGGGCCACTAGAGGTGGGGAGGCCCACACCCCTGGCTGCAGGGCTCTGCACACACTCCCTCAGCCCCTCTTGCTCTGGAGTTCCACCTTCCTCCAGATGTGTTGCTACTGCAATCCACTTTCAGAGCTGAAGACTTCTGAGACCACGTCCTACCCCTTCCCCACCCCTCCGCCCCGTATCAGGCCTTTCCAAGTCCCCAGAAGCATACCCCACCCAGGCGTGGCTGGGCTGCCTCTCAACAGCCCAGGTTCCAGGTGCTGGGCCAGCCAGGAGCACCTGGCCCTGATCAGTGCTCACGTGGTTCCCAAGAAGTCTGCTCAGGCCATCTGACCAACCCCTCTTAGCCACAGGGTGGAAGAAAAATGAGTACTTGCTAATAGGAGGGAGCCAATGGATGGAGTTCCCTAAAATCACAAGCGGGTCATTCCCCACTCCCTCCGCCCTCCCCGTGGAGACAAGGAAGAAGGGAAGTATTTAAAGGGAACAAGGAGCTCCTTGTTTTCTTCATAACCTCTTGGAGCACATTTGCTCACATGTGAAATGGGAGAGAAACTGGGGCAGGGAGGCCCAGAGGACTATCCCCAGCGTGGAGGCAAGGCCTTGGCCAGGCCTGGACAACAGAGAAGCTCCAAGCTGGGTGTCGCTGCAGACCATGACCAGAAGCCAGAAGCGGTTCCCAGGCCACCACCCCACCCCTGCAGCCTCAGGCAAGTCCTCGACCCCTCCAGGCCTCCTGTTGGGGGGGGGGGGCAGGGGGAAGAAGGACCAATGACAGAAGGCTCCCTCCCAACACCAGATCCCTTCAGTGACTTAGACTTCGCAAGTGACTGGCATGCAGGTACCAGGTACCAAGGCAGCTACTAGAACATAACAATAGAGTCTGCCCTCCAGGGGCGGAAACCATGATGTGGCTGCAAAGAGAGCTCTTTCCCCTTCTCCCAAAACTCTGAGCTCCAATAAATCATCTCCAAGGGTGCTGAGAAAGGAGGGAAAAATGGGGTGCTGTCCCTGTAGAAGGGAAGACACAGAGGCACAGAGAGAAGCAAGCACTTGGCTCAGAGCATCTCTCCAGGGAAAAGTCAGCTTGTCTGACCTTCCATGGAACAAGGAAAGGCCTGTGCCCAGGACAGGAGGAAGAGCCAGGAGAGGTGGTGAGGGCAGTAGATGGGCAGAGACCACTGCCCAGGCTAGTGCTAGGACACCGGGGAAACCCACTGTCCCCCCAGTCTCCGTACCAGAGCCTGAAGTCCTACCACTGGCGACTCAACCTTATGTCTTCCAAAATTACAAGGGGGAGTGGGAGTAACCCACAGCTTGAGCAACCTCATTAGAGGAAGAAAAGACTGCAAGCTAGTTTCCTCGAGATGGCAGGGGCAGTAAGAACAGACCTACGAAGGCAGAGTCACCTGGCTGAGCTGCACCCCCCGTGGTGGCTGCTGAGCCACAGGCCCTCCTCCCTCCCTGCCCCTGTGAGGAGATCCTGAGAGCCCAGGGCCTGCTTCGGGAGGGCTGGGAGCGCCATGTGTTTGGGGTGGGATGGCAGGGTGTGACCTCTGACACCTCTGGGGTCTTCCTTCCCCCTCCTCCTAGTTCAATGCCCCCTTTGATGTTGGAATCAAGCTGTCAGGGCCTCAGTACTACCAGCATGGCCAGGCACTGGGGAAGTTTCTTCAAGAGGTTCTTTGGGAAGACACCAACGGTAAGTCCTTGCCCCACTCAGGTCATTTCAGTTTCCTTGGAGTCCCAATTGTGAGCCCAACCTATGTGTGACACAAGAGAAGTTTTATTCCCCTATCCCTGCCTCTCAAAAAGCTTCTAATTACTTTCCCCAATGTCTGCCAGAGAGCAGCCTGGGCTGGGATTTGTGAGTGGCTCGGACGAGGGGTGAGCAGTCTCTGAATTCCAAGAAGACACTATGTTCCAAGAACTAGCACATTAACTACCTCTGGGGCCCCAGGGAACCCCAATTTCCTAACCATAAAATGGAGCTAACACTCACTATGAGAGCATAAAATTATTTGATGTTAAGTACTGCTACTGTATAACTTTACAAATGAAAGGAATTAGTGCCCTCATGAGAATTAAGCAAAGGTTTCTAGGTTTTGTTGCAAAGCTCTTCTTGGCTTGTAAAACAGAAACCACCCAATTAGCTTCTGATCATGGGGGCAAACACCTGCCTTTGGAGGCACACTACCACTGGCAAAGCACTTCCCTAACTAACATGGCATCAAGTCTCCACCCCCCACTGACCACATGAGGTAGGCAGGAGCATGGCACTCACAAGGCAGTGCAGATAAGGAAAACAAGACTCAGTTTTTAGGTGGCGAGAACAAGTCACACATTCCACACTCCGAGGTCAATACCTAACCCTTCCGCCCCCCATTACAACACACCTCTGACATCACCATTGTGGAAGAAAAGCCATCTCTGATGGCACCGGCAGGACGGTGAACACTGAATTTTGACGTGACGTCTTGCTTTTCAGAGGCCCTGGCAGACGAGTGATCATCCACAAGATGGGCCTGCCTGTTCTCCCCCCACCCTAGAAGCACTCACCTGGCTTTTACACTGTTTCTGCAACTACTCCCAGTTCTGAGTGGTACTAGTTGAAGAGGTGAATAAACATTCAAACCATATGCTGAATGTTCAAAGAAAAAATTTATTTCACCAAAGATGAAAATTTCACATTCGACTGATGAAAAAAATTTTAAAATGTGTGGTCAATGGAAAGATAAAAGGAGGATATGTAGTAAGGCAGGCAAATGTGCATTGAAAGAAGGGGGTGGGGATGGAAGGAAGAGGAAGCAGATAGACAGCTCTTATAAATATCACAGCTTCCTGAGCACAGTGAAGTTACAATGAGAGCTTAGTAACAATTGGCAAGGACCGTAGACCAAGGAACTTCAGGTGACATCACCAGAGTCACCATCTGCTGAGCTGACCACCATCACAACAGGACAGTGGGAGGGCCAAAACCTGAGTTTCAAGTTATACGTAAGCTGGGTGCTTCCGATGGCTGCCAGCCACTGCTAGACAGGACTGAAATAACGACTTCTCCTTCCTCCTTGTCCACTACTGAAAAGACATGACAAAGCAACTGTCACCTCATGTGCACAAGGCTAGGCACTGCCCTGGTTACTTACCGATACCAGGCAGGCGTCCCTAAAGGTAGCCAACTCCAGCTCACAGATGCATTGAGCCCGGGTCCTATGTTCCACAGCTTAATCCACTAAAGATACCAGCCTTCCTGGGAGGAAGGTCAGTTATTAGTAAGTTACACTTTAGCACAAATGTGTGAACCACTAAGAACTGATGACAGATGATGGGTGAATCACTAAGGAGAAGAAAATTAAAAAAGATTAAGGAAGTTCCAAATATAAGCACTCCCAATTGAGACACATGGATACCTGTTAGAGTTACAGTAGACCCATCCTCAGCAGAGTTGGGGTAACATGCGCACTCTGGAAAAACCTCTATCAGAGGGCTATAGGAGCCACGTATCTTCTCGAGTAAAATTCTGGTCACCTGGGAGTCAAGACACAGCCCTACTGGTATTAACCACTGACTTGGCAGGCACACCGAAACCCAACGGTCAGTCCTCAGCGAGGAACATCATGTGGACCATGGAACCCACCATCATCAGAGAATCTCTTAGAAATGCAGAATCTTGGGGTGCCTGGGTGGCTCAGGTGGTTAAGCAGCTGACTCTTGGTTTCGGCTCAGGTGGTGGTGAAGGGGTGGTGAGATTGAGCCCCATGTAGGGCTCCACACTCAGCGGGGAGTCTGTTTCAGGATTCTCTTTCCACCTCTGCCCCTCCCACATATGTACACATTCATGCACTGCTCTCTCCCTCAAATATTTTTTAAAATATTTTTAAAAAAGAATGAAATGCAGACTCTTGGGCCCCACCCTGGCCCTACCATATCAGGATCTGCATTTCAACAAGATCCTCAGACTAATAAATGGCTTAAAGTGGCTGAGAGGCACCTGGATCCTACTCAATTCAGGCAGCACAGCACACAGCAGCGCCAGATTACCCGCCTGGCATGGAACAGGTGTCAATTCCCATTTAACTTAGAAAATTCAGACCTGGCCAGGTGACATGACACGCTCAATGAAGCTGAGAAGACATTACTCTCACTTATCTTCCCCCATTTCTCCAGCCCCAGCCTTGCTGTCAACAGCATACCCAACCTTTGTGCCTACCACACACACATACTTGCATCCCTCAGATGTCTACAGACACTGACCATGACTACCCAGGGACTTCACTCACCAAGTTCTTGCTTCTGAAAGCATCTACCGCTAAGCCTTAGTAAGATTGAAAGATATTATTAACCATTTAAAGAATTTAAGGTACTGGAAGGACAACGCCCAGGTGGCTCAGTCAGTTAAGCTTAGGCTAGGGTTGTGATCCCGGGGTCCTGAGCTCAAGCTCCTGGTCAGGCTGCCTGCTCGGCTTAAACAAAAGAAAAAAAAAAAAGGAATTTAAGATACTGAAGAATAGGTGAACTAAGTGGGGGGAAGGAAGAGGCAGAAAGGCAGGAGTGGAGGGAAATGACCTCCCTCAACCTCCAGATGACCAGACGAGCAAGCTGTCCTGGAGCTTAGCCACATCCCAGCTCTATCGCTTAGTAGGAGTGTAATTCTGATCATCACTAAGCAAGCCCACAGCTCTCTTCTCAATAGCCAGAGGAGGGTCCAAGGCCCACATACAAAGTGATCCAGCCTGTGACTCAGTGAAGAAGCAGGCACAGATTGGACTCAGGGCAAGATGGGTGCCAGGCCATGAGGAATGCTGGTCACCTGACGCTTCCCCCAACACACACAAGGACTGACTCCTCTCTCAAAAGACTCACAAGTATTCTCTCCCACTTGCCTAGGTCATTCATGTAAGAAATAGATGCTGAGCACCCACTCTGGACCAGATACTCTCACCTGCGCTGGGGAGCATGAGATGATGGAAAGCTAGGAGCTTCAGACTCAGACCCAAATTTGAATTCCAGATGTATGATCCAGACCAAGACACTGAATTTCTCAAGCTCCTCACAGGTCAAACACCTATCCCCCTGGCCTACTGTCAAAACTGAATATAGGATCCCCTACATGGATACCAGGCACATATGAGGCACTTGATTATTCTAACCACCAAAGTTTACTGTACTGCTGTGCACCAGGCATTGTCCTACATACTTCTATCCAATCAATGTAATTTCAGTTAACTTTCACAACAAGCCCACTTGAGAGAAAAAGAGAAAAGTGAAGTTAGGGAAATCTAAGTAACTTTCCAAAGTCACACAGCAATCATGTTGCTGACTCCTATCCAGAACTAGAGTACTTGGGTTGGTGCCTCTCAGCCACTGCTTCCCTTGCCCTGATTTAAGGGCCTTCTATTGTTTTTCATTTTCCTTCATAATACACTGGGTCAACCTGGAGTGGAGTGACTGATAGAAATAAAACTTAGCAAAGGAAATACTTGAAAAAATATAGCATTTCAAACATGGTTCTGTGTTAGTTTGGGATTGTCTTTTGTTTTGTTTTTTTAGATTTTATTAATTTAAGAGAGTGAGAGAGAACAAGCAGTGGGTAGGTAGGGGCAGAGGGAAAGGGAGAAGCAGACTCCCCACTGAGCAAGGAGCCCCATAGAGGGCTTGACCCCAGGACCCCGAGATCATGACCTAAGCTGAAGGCAGACACTTAACTGACCCACCCAGGTGTCCTCCTCCCTTTTTAAAGTAGGTTCCTTGCCCAGTGTGGAGCCTAATGTGGGGCTTGAACTCATGACCTTGAGATCAAGACCTGAGCTGAGGGATCCCTGGGTGGCGCAGCGGTTTGGCGCCTGCCTTTGGCCCAGGGTGCGATCCGGGAGATCCGGGATCGAATCCCACATCGGGCTCCCAGTGCATGGAGCCTGCTTCTCCCTCTGCCTGTGTCTCTGCTTCTCTCTCTCTGTGACTATCATAAATAAATAAAAATTTAAAAAAATTAAAAAAAAAAAAAAAAGACCTGAGCTGAGATCAAGAGTCGGACGCTTAATCAACTGAGCCACCCAGGCACTGCCCCACCCCCAATGTCAGCTTTCTTAAATCTACACCTCCAAGCATCATTTGATGATGCCCCACTAACTTAAGTTTCTCTGAAATAGGGTGTAGTTACCCCGGGGGCGGGGAGTGAGGTATTTGCTGGAGAAGAAAATTCTGGTGTTTCATAACATACCTGGTACATCGTACAGTGGCATTCATATTTAACTTATACACTTAGAGGTTTGTGCTCAGAAGTGCCTATGACAGTGTGTAAACAAACCGAACAGTGGAGACCCACACCTAGCTTGCTTCTTAATGTGAACACGCTCCCCACCGTCAGCGGCCCTCTACCTTATCTTACATGACTGAGCGACACAGACATCAAAGTGCTGACCCTAAACGATTTGTAACTAGCGCCAAACAGAGACAAAGAAGCACTGGAAAAGCCAAGGGTTGCAGATTTCTAGCCACAAATTAAGCCCATCACTGAGCAGATGCAGTCAACTGTGTGTTCACCTGGGAAGGAGCAGAGACGGTAGTGACAGGATTGTGCTGCAAATACACCATCAGTGATGGTGTCTTGGTGAGGTATCAACACTGGTTTTGGATTTATCCTTCTTGGAACACAGCCTTCCTTATCACAGGGCTACTTTCAGCCCTGTGCACTTGTGTTCAGTAACACCTTAGTATGAAATGAGAGCACTGACTCCAAGTAGTGACACGCAACTGGCCCCCAAAGTTTTCCCAGAGAAATCAGAGGAGCTCACGATCTGAAGGCACCCCCGTCCCCATCCTGGTACCACAGATTCATCACCACCCTTGTATGCTCCCTTTTCCCCACCACAGTGCTCTAGAAAGAAAAGGTCTAAGTACTTACTTCTCGGAGAAGCGACCAATACATCCGAGTTCCCAGACAGTAAAATGAGTTAAT